TATATATAATGTTGGGTTTCCTTTCTACACAACGTTACTCAAAGTTTTCTGGCGTGACGTAATCATCAGACATATATTGTATATTTCTAATAACTGTCTCGAGCTTTAGCATCATTGTGCAGTAATGGGAAATAATATATTTTTTAAAAATATATATCTTAAGTCTATCCTTTTATATCGAGCACTGTGTTTTTTACTCCCAGCACTCGATGTGCATATATATATATATATATATATATATATATATATATATATATATATATATATATATATGCACACACACACACGCATGGTTACATACACATTGGCAAGCACACACATACATATATATTTTCCTGTTCACTATTTTTGGCTCCCTTTCATTTTTTTGCTATATCTTCATTATTTAGTGGGAAATAACCAAAATGATATCATCATTTTTTTTAATTGGTTATCCAAAGACATTTAACACATGTTTTTTTCAAGTTACCTAAAACAGGTAATTTCAGAAAAGAAAAAGAAAAAAGTACAAGGGCCATAATAAAGGCACCCCACCATTATATTTTGTTGTGTCCCCTTTGGCAACCTTCAAATATTTCTGGCTGTCATCTGTAATCTTCTTGTCCATCTCAGCTGGTATTTTATCCCACTCTTTATTTGCAATTTGTTCAAACTGTTTTAGATTTACAAGATTCCTTTGCCCAAAGACTTTCATTACAAGCCAATTTATAACAGTTCATTTCTTCGTTCTCAACCATTATTCGGTTCTTTCGGAAATGTGCCTGTGGGTCGTTATCTTGCTGAAGAACCATAATCTTCGACTCAAACCTAGTTTTCTTAACCTGGGTAGTACATTTTGCTCTAAAGTCTTTTGGTAATCCTCAGATATCATTATTTATATGATACACACAAGTGCTTCAGATACAATAAAGCAGCCCCACAAATTGATGTATGGTTAACTGTTTGTAAGATTCTCTTATCGATATATGCTTTATTTTGCCGCTTGTAAATATGTTGGTGTAAATTGACCAAAAAGCTCTATTTCATTTTTTTTATCTGTGTACAGAACATTGTGTTAGACATTTTCATGACGGTCGTCTTCGAGTATAGAATCCAGATGTTGGCGGTGAATATTTCGGAGACAGTAGGAAAGCGTAGTGCAGGTTCGCAGTGGATATCGTAGCAGAGCGTAGTTCTTCCGTCTGTCATGTTCGCCGGACAAGTTTCCTCTGGTACTTCCGATAGGAGAAACAAAGATGGCCGCCTTTATACACGACGAATACAGTGTTGTGCAGCTTCTGATTGGTCAACCTTCTATTGGTCGACTATAAAGGGAAATAAGTCATTCTGACTCGCTCACTAGTTATATACTGTATATACCCAAAAAAGCGTAACACATTGTTCCAGAATAATTGAGGCTGGTCAAAGTACACTTTGGTAAAGTTCCGTCATCCATTTTATGGGATTTCTTCAGTAATGGGGTTTTCCTTGGTTTTTGCTCACCAAGCCCTATTTGGTTTAGTGTGCACTGTAAGATGTGTGATGCAACAATTACCCTAGATTGTTCCACGTATATTTTACAGTCGTGCAATTAACAAATAGCTTATTCAATTATTCAATGAAGACTTATGATTTACCAGAAAATTAAAACCGATTATTTCTAATTATAAATAATATTTTTAGGCATTTCACCCCAAGCAAGGCGGGAGTGCCACTAGGAAGCAAGTAAGATGAAGACAATTCCGCGGGCGGGAAGTGCATATAATATCAGTGTTCTCATTTGTCTGTTGTCGACAATCCACATGGTTCATCTGTCCTTATCTGTGGCTGGCGGTGATTTTCAAATTTCGGCACATGTTCCGTAATGAACTTTTCATTGATTTTCAGGTTTGTAAATGTTTTATATTTTCTTTCTCCATGTTTAGTATCAACGTTCGAAGACGTCCAGGGTAGTTCATGACAGTTCCATGCTTAGCAAAGTTTTCAGTAACATTGGACACTGTCAGAACACTGATACTCAGAATCTAAGACATGGTTTTTTGTCCTTAAGTATTCTTGTGATTACTAATAATGGCCCATATGATATTCTCAGGTAGATCTTTTGACGTCAAAACTGTGACAATGAAACACGCAATAACATGTAACTTTTTAAAACATTGAAATTATCACTCGTTTGCTAATTTCTGTCCTGACAGATTATCAAGAGTTATTTTAATTTCTGATGGCAAATCACAGAGGAAACGGAATCCGACGCAGCTATTATCGACTAAGTCCTAAAGATACATTACATGTATACATGAGTCTAGCCGAAGGAATTGGTGGAGGGTTGACCATCAAATATTTCGTTAAACGTCACTCTATGCGAAACACCTTTATAGTAATTTGCGATGTTAAATTTAGTCAATGTAGTGGCGCCACAAGGATAGCCTGGTTTTGTTTTCTGTAAAACGAATAGACGCCGCCTGGTCTAGTTGCACAAAACACGCTACAGAAAAATAAATACCTCCCCAGCATTCAACCCATATATGTTGATGGGGAATGGTCTAGTGCTCAAGTTCGGAGTGACCCAAAGACAATACCAAGACATATGACTGGGTGATGATGATTCTTATGATGATGATATTGAATTAAGAATTTCTCGATTCTGAGAGCTCCCGTAAAATATTTATGACTTATACAGTAATCTATGTATCATTTGTTTGAAAATAAAAAAAGTCATGTTTATTTTCATTAATGTCGGTAGTCTCCTAGAACTGATTATCCGACAAATTATTATGGTCTGTGATAATGTGTTTAGTCGCATTTGATTACTGCAATTATATGGGAGGTAAAATTGCGGAGGTTGATAACTTGCCAGTATAGTTTGTATGAGGATATATATATATCCTCATAATTCAAACAAAACGATAAGGAATTATTAACTCTGAGAAGTGATGAATTAAAAACATTGAGGAATTTTTTAGTATGTGATTCAAGCCAAAATATACGTGGTTGTCTGAATCCAATTTAATGTCAATAAGAGAAACTTTTTTCTACAAGCAAGTTGATTACCCGAACTTTTGCACTCGGTGTCACAACAGAAGATCAGAGAACATGGATATATGAGGGAGTGCATGTTGAGGTTGTGCTCATATACACCAGGTGATGATTCGTGTCTTACAAGAGTTATGTAAACTGGTGGCTGAAACAGCTTAGAGCGCACACATATGTTACAGCCTGTTGGCATAATGATATATGAAATTGTATCACATTAGACTGAAAAGACAGAGAGTCTCTTACGTCCTCGTGAGGATATCCACGTTTGGAGAGAACCAGCATACCCACATACCAACTCACCGATATTAATTGACCAAGTTCGGAGGTGAATGATTTCAGGAATGAGAGATTTAATTTCGTATTTTTATTAGACTCGGCAACGATAAGAAAACTTATGCGAAAACTGTTGCTCAGACATTTGCCCAAATCTTCGTCAGCATTCTTCGTATGCAAGAGAAAAAAAAACCGACTATGGTGCCAGAAATCACAAAGGAAGTGGTTGCATGCTTTCCTCAACAGAATTTAGACTAAGTAGCAATCGAAATCTTCAGACAGAATTCGTAATCAGCGTCCACAGACATATTTCGAAATCACATTGTGTGATTGCGTTTACGATGCTGATAACTGCTGATCTACACGCACTGTAGTTAATTTACATATTTGGTAAACTATAAGACGTACATTTCTTGAACATTCTTTCCGCGTCTTATATCCGAAATAAATTACTGTTGTGGTAGGATCCACCTAATTTGAATAGTGGAGTACCGACCATATAAATATGGTTGGTACCGGGAAGAGAAGGAGGAATCAATAGATTCAACCAGAGACTCTGCCCGACTGCGACTCATTCAACACATTCTCCAGGAACGGTCTTACCAGGAATATACAAAAGACTATATGTAAAAATTGTGTACACTTTCTTGTTTCAATACATTTGGTTCTAAGTACCTTTTGTGTCGCATTATTATTCCATGCATTAGTCAAGTTTCAACAATTACCAACGTAAACTATAATTTAAACCCAACAGATTATTTCTAACAAGAGCGACGCTCTAATAATATTATTGACATATCAAACATATGTTACTAGTATCGCGATCTTTTGGGCCATTTTTACAGGTTGTTGCAGCAAAATCTGACACTTGAGAAAATGAAAACGAATTAGGTATTAAAAACAAAAGTTGTATATGCAGATACCCGACTATTTGACAACTAACTAGTGTTTTACTCTCTACCCTTTTCCAAAATGGAATATGAGCGCAGAACACCGGTAGTAGCTTCTTTTCGCGTGTGGAAGATAGCCTGCGGAAGTAATGGCCTAGTTTGAGTTCAAGAGGACCATATTCATCGACATTTGGAGGAAGTGGAAGGTGTGTGAGAACAAGGTAGAGTTTACTGCCAAAGGAAGGCGCACAGCGTTCGTTCTTCGGCTGTTAGGACCGACGAGTTCGTCGCCGCCGGCAAGGAGACCGTCGACAATGACGGAAGCCAGAGCTACGCTTAGATCGCCGCTGACATGGGCTGTTAAAAGTCGACGATCTGCCGAACGATCAAGAAGGACATTGGTTACGCCTCCTACCGCAAGTCTCACCGCATGTTCATCAGGAATGCCCCTAAGGAGTCGAGGAAAGTCAAGGCGACGGCTTTGCTGAACGAGATCAGGTACGGGTCCGCCAGGATGCTGAGGTTCTTCTTTGATAAAAAGCATTTCATCCAGGAACACAAGAGCAACAGGCAGAATGACAGGTGAATCTGCGAAGACATTGACGAGGGTCCCGTCGTGAAGCATACGAAGTTTCCCTCCTACGGCATAGTCCTTGACGTCATCTCCAGCGAGTGGGACGTCATGCCTCCGTTCGTCTTTCAAAAAGGCCTGAGTGTCACCGATGAGATCTACCAGGATGTGCTGACGAGCGTGTTGAAGCCCTGGATGGACGAGATCACCGCCGGACGCCCCTACACAAGGCTAAGACGACCCAGGCGTGGATGTTAAACAATGTTCCTCACCACTGGTCGCCGGACTTGTGGCCGCCCTCCTCACCCGACTGCAATCCCCTTGACTATTTCTTCTGGGGCATGATCGAGGCCAAGAGCAACCAGCACGCCCACATCACGGTCGAGTCTCTGAAGGCTACTATCGTGGAGACGTTCGCCGCTATGGACAAGTACATGGTCGCCAAAGCGTGTGACTAATTTCGCGCCCGCCTAGAGATGGTCGTCAGCGCCGCCGGCGGTTACATTGAAAAATAATGTAGTATGTAACTCTAACTGTTGCTAAATAAACTATCGGGTCTCAGCATATCCAACTTTTCTTTTTATTGCCTATTTCGTTTTCTTTTTGTCAAGTGTCGAATTTTGCTGCAAAACTCTGTATGTTGATGTTACCTGGGACACTGTTAGTAAAAATATCCATTACTTTCTCGCGACGCTGCGATTACTATTGGTACAGACTCAGTCTTCATTCCCCACATCTTCTTCTTCTTCTTCTTCTTCTTCTTCTTATTATTATTATTATTATTATTATTATTATTGCTATTTGTTTATGTTATATTTCGTACTTTGTATCCTGTACAACCAGATTCAAATTCTGGTCCTTAGGCCCTATAGGAGAATTGTCATTAGCACTTTTCTTAGTATATGTGATGTTCCTAGTGGGGAGGTCTTCTGAGTAAGTTGCATGTTGATGTTACCTGGGACACTTTTAGTAAAACAGTCCATTCTTTTTCTCACAAGGCCCAGAGCTTCGATTACTTTCGGTTCAGTCCCAGTCTTCATTCGCCACATCCTGTTAATCTCGATCTCTATTTCCTTGTATTTGGATAATTTCTCGATAATTTTCATGGAGGTGTTTTTCTCAGATGGTACTGCTCTGTCAATAAGCATACACTTCCTGAATTTCTTGTCTTTAATGATAATATCAGGTCTGTTGGCTTTTATTTCCCTGTCAGAGTATAGTCACATTCTTCTTCTTCTTCTTCTTCTTCTTCTGCTCATAATTATTATTATTATTATTATTATTATTGTTAATATTATTGGTCTGGTGCTTCTTCAATGTATTTAGAGATTTTCGATAAAATACAAAATGTATCTGCAATATTATCGATTTTGATCTGGTATCTCGGCTTCCATTTCCGGTTGCCGTAAATTAGATTCCTCGTGTCTGTTCTATTAGCATTCCCATGGTAATATTTAAATGTGTTTTCTTCTTTGCTACATGAACGTTACATATTTAAGTGTAGTACTATATTGGCGGCAAGGTCTTATCATTTTACATTTGAAAAGGCAAGATGTAACCCTAAATTCTAGGCTAACACTTTCTTTCCACGTACTTGTCTCTTGCAGAACCCTTTTCTACCCTCTATGCAATTCCAATCGTAATCTTCTGGCTTTTTAACTTTCGTTTTTTCACGTTCTCTTTTCTTAATAATGTTTTCTTTTTGTCATATTCTTTCACATTCAGCAACTCCTTGTGTGTTAGAGGCTTTATCGCCCTGCTTGATGTGAAATGACTAAAACAATATATTATTATTAATTTTTTTTATTATCCCTGTTTTTACTATCGAGCCTTTCAGTAAGGTAAATACATTCATTCTGTTTCCACCAGTTCTCTTAAGTGATACTTAACATGGACAGTTACATGATATTATTATTATTATTATTATTATTATTATTATTATCGTTTCTTTTTCCTCTGTATCATCTTCTTTATATTCTTCTTCTGTTTCTACTCCTTCTCTTAATTCGGTTTCTCTTTCCTATTTCTTCTTCTTCTTCTTCTTCTTCTTCTTTTCTAGTTTCTTGTTTTTCTTCTTCTTCTTCTCTAGTTTCTTGTTTTTCTTCTTCTTCTTCTCTAGTTTCTGGTTTTGCTTCTTCTTCGTCTTCTTTTTCTTCTTCTTCTTCTTCATCTTCTTTTTCTTCTTCTTTTTCTTCTTCTTCTTCTTGTAAATCATCATCATCGTCATCTTTTCTTCTTCTTCTTCGTTTTCTTCTTCTTCATCATTCTTCTGATGCTTCTGCCGCTGTCTCTTCTTCTTCTTCATCTTTTTCTTCTTCTTCTTCTTTTTATTATTATTATTATTATTTCTTTTGCTTTCTATTGTATACACATTTCTTTCCTAGTTAGAAATGGAACCATGGTATTTTTCTGAACTGTTTAAAAAAAAAAAGAAAAAAAAAAGAATAAAACAACTTGTGAGCCCATACACTTGACATTACTAAAACTGTTTGTAAAGAGGAATTGTACTTGCAAGAACAATGTCTTGTATTTATTTAAGGCATGAGTTACTGGGTATTCCTTTAATGGGTCAATCAGAACCATTTTCAATTAAACCGAGGAATCTAAACACAACTGGAATTATTATTTTTAGATTTCCACTTGAAGATACTTGTATTTTGATAGCTTTTGAAGAACATCAAAAAGACATTACAGCATGCAAGAATTGCCAATAAGAAAGCACATTCTGTTTTTGTGATCTTTGATTACGATGTCCGCCAGATTGTTCTGTAGGTGTCTATGTATGTATTTTAAGTTCCCATAATATTCTTGCAGGCACTAGTTTTAAACTGTTTTGGGTGGTGTTCACAGTAATTCCATGCAGTTTCTGCACAATGAGACAATCGCTTTTGAACACTGAGAAGGTCGAGTTCAGATACGCCAGTAATGCTATATGTTTGCTTCGATGCAATTCTAAACATAGAGCATAGCACCTCTAGTGCAGTAATGGGAACCGTATATTATTTCATTTTTAACTGCAACTGGTAAGCAATATATATATATATATATATATATAGAGAGAGAGAGAGAGAGAGAGAGACAGACAGACAGAAAGACAGACAGACAGATTATTTTCAATATAGAACACTTATCAAGAAAAAAAGTTACATCTCCTGCGTATGTAAAATCCATGTTTGGCTTTCTTGTTTTAAAACAACTTTATCTGAAGAAAAACATCTGAAAGAAATTGCATATTTTTCGAGAGTTTGAGGAAAAATTCTCACTCCGACCATGAAACCCTTAAAAAAAAAATCTGATGAGTGTTTGACCGAGAATTTTTATACTCATGAACTTCTTATATAAATTATTTGCTTTCGAAATTAACGCAACCATTATGGGAGATCTTAGTTAATTAAACTATTTACATTATTCGGACTATTGCCCTTATCGTTGTTGCCATATTTATCACAAAGTTTCGGCCGTTGTACGTTCCGGCCTTTTTCAGGTGTTTGGAACGTCGAACTGAATCCTTTATTTCGTTCGCTAGGTAAACTCTTCTAGTGCCACGTGCTGTTAAATGAATTTCACTTATCAGTTATCTCCTGTTAATTCCCCTCTCCAATTTCTCCACCGCCTTAACCAGATATTGAACTCATATACTTTAGGTCCTGTCACTGGATCTAAAGAACACCTTTATCCACTGTGACATGTGTCCTTGAGGAAGAAGGCCGTAGCGTACAACAGACGAAACTTTGTGATAAATATGGCAACAAAGATGGGGACAATACTTCGAATAATGTAAATTGTGTACATAATACCTCATCTCAGAAATATAGACAGATACTCAGTTAATTACGAGAAAACTGTCTTTGATTTTGCATGATGCTCAACACAAGGCATCTGCGTGTGACAAAGTCGAACACAGCGGGCACAAAGGGCCGCGTAACGACTAGGCTTTGATTTCCATATAAGAGGAAAATTTGCGCCACCCACAAGCGTCGAATACATTCGAGAGTAGAAGAACTTTCCAATAACTCAAAATTTTTTTGGCAGCATTTCAGAATTTCCATCATTTTATCAATCTTTAAGACTTTGATGAGAGGTCTGTGGTGATTTTGTACTAGATCCAATGGTGTATTTTCAGTTTATGTGTCCAGAGATCGATCAATGTAGATTTGTGCATATCTATCTCTGTCACATTAATTTACTCATGTCTATCGATCACGAGATCAATCTATTTAACTTTTTTTGTTTCTTTGTTTATATAAAGCACATTGGGTATTGTATCTACTTTCTGTCAGTCAGGTGGTTGCATACATCCCCCAACAGGCACGCGTACACACATGCGCGCGCACACGGCCACACACACACACATATATATATGTGTGTGTGTCTATATATATATATATATATATATATAAGTGTGTTTTGTGTATATATATATGTGTGTGTGTACAATATATATATATATATATATATATATATATATATATATATATATATATATATAAAATGACAAACGAATAAAGGCAATGTAAATGAAAATAAAAATATTAAAATTAAAAGAAAACTATTAAATTTATAACCTCCCGTTATTTTTTAAAAATTGTCATACATAAATTTATCCTATGCTAAAATAATACAAAAAAATATGAAAAAAAATATCAATAACAATCATTGACTGACTTTCATTTATTAGACATTAAATTATATAACTTATCGTCCTCCATAATTTACCCGGTCATTTTAGTTAACCTGATGAAGATATACGAGGGTTTCTTGAATAAAAATAAAACTAACAATATTTTTACTTTTATTAAGAGATACTTAGTGCAAAATAAAATCCTTACATTTGACGAAACGAATGATCTAAGATATGTTTTCCTTTTGTCTTTATATATATATATATGAGAGTGTGGGACGAATGTTAGAACTATAGAGAGGGGTAACAGACAAGAGAAGGTGGGAGATTAAAACTTAACAGTGAGGACTTTTTAAAAAGTTTTTATTTAACATTAATATATATATATATATATATATATATATATATATATATATATATATATATATATATATATATATGTAATGATAATAATAGTAATGGACTCTCCCGGCGGTTTCGATACATGAGGATATGACAGCTTATTTGATACAGTTTTGAAATTTTGTGCGATAATCTTAAGTGGCATTTATGATCCGCTAGTGATTTATAAAAGACGCCAGATATGGAGCAAGTGTGAGGATTGTCAGATGAGATCAGTGTTAGATTCCT